TCTCCCCAGACCAAAGGGAGTCCCCAGCCAGGAGAGCAATGCTGTATGTATTACCTGCTTCTAGATTCTCTCTGGAGCCAGGAATGTTGCATGTGAGCAAGCAGCTACAAAAGAAACATCTAATTAAGACCTGAAGACATAAATCTGTGGCAGTTTGTTTTCACAGTGGCTTTATTTGATGTTTGTCTCAAAAAGATCAAGATAGTCAAGGGCAAAGCTGGCTGTAAGGAACGAAGTGATGGATTCATCCATTGTTTTCTCCTGCACCAGCAGGGTCTCGAGTTGTGCAAGCAGCTGGAACACGCCAGGCACGAGGGGCTCTGTGGGTTCATCACATGTGCCCCATGCTCCTCACACTGCCTGCTGGGGTCTGCTAAACTGGGCCCGACATGCCTTCCTGCTCTGGGGAGTCTTTGGGGTTGTGCTTGTCCACGGACATGTTTCATCCTCTGGAGGAATTTGGGAATTTGGAAAAGCTGAGGTCTGCAGCTGGGTGAAGGAAATTGGAGTGTGACCAAAGCGATCAGATCAAAGTCAGCCAAGGAAGATCCTGGAGGCAGGAGGAAAAGAAGATCATATGGTTTGCTTCTGTCTTCCAAAAGAAAAGGAGCCTAGGAAGGACAAAATCAAACAGTGACATTGCCTGGATTCCTGAGCTACTTTCCTGGGCACTCCAATAGCCTGGGCCAAAAAATATTTGAAGCTGTGAATGCACTGGCTCCTGGTGCAAATGTCTCCACCCGGCCTTCAGAGCAGACTGACACTCTGACCCTTTCCTCCACGATGTGTACGAAATGAAATTATGGCCTGGGCCCATCTTTAAGTAGCTTCTATTTTTGCAGCCCCACATCCTGACCTGGCAGTGCTGGAGCTGCCTGCCCCACAGTGGAGCGGCCCTGGCAGCGTGAACTGCCCTGTGTTCATGATCACTGTGCTGTGAAAACCACCTGGAATAGGCTCAGGGACACGGCTGCTCGGTTATAGTACACTGTCACTGCCAAAAAAAGACAAAAGGTCACCAAACAATAACCCAGCTGTAAATGAAGGTTACAAATATGGACATGGGGGGTAGATAACTACAGGTTTCCTGTCATACACATGCCACTCTGCTCGGAAAGTGTCCTGCAGAGCAAGATGCTGTGTGTGCCATGGGCAACCCTTTCTGATCAGAAATTTTTCAGTGGTTGAAAAACAGCAAGTCTGCTTTTCTTAGTTTCCACAGGTCAGCGCTAAGATGCAAGGTCAGGGTTCATTTTTGAGTGGAAAACATGAAAAAGTGATGCCTGCAGTCCTTGGGCACTTCACATATCTCATGCAGAGGAAGCTCTTGCAGGGATTTCAAAGTTTGAAAAATCAATTCAAAAATACAATCAATTGCATAGAATGAAGCTGTGGGAGCAAGTGAGAGCAAAAGGTTGTCAAAAGATCCTGGTATGTTAAAAAACCAGTCTGAATGCAGCTGCCTTCATGCTGTGACTGCCCTCCTGAAACAGTTCTCTACAAGATTCATTGTGCAAAGGCTGAAATGTTATTTAGTTGTGCAATAGCACCATAGCTGTGCCACAGCCACAGCTGTTGCCAGGTGGGTAAAAACAGTTGATTTGCATCAAATCCTGCAGACACACTTTGGGCAGCAGCTAATGGCTCCTGCCATTGCTGATTTTCTGCCCAGTTGTTGATCCCAGATGCAGCTCCGACAGAGGATGTACAGACACATTTAGGACTTTTTCTGTTCAGCTGCAGATGGGCTATGTGCTATCCACATCAGAGGAGCTACGTGTGTCCTCAGAGTCAGATGGACTCAGTGGCAGCAAATGAAACCAGAAAACCTTGCTTTTTACAACAGCAAGAAGAGAGGAGAGAAGAGGAGAGGACAGGAGAGAATGACCGAAACTGGGTGCAACAACAGAAGGAGAGAAATGAAGCATTTAAGACAAAGCATAACTCAATCTGTGACCTTCATACACGAAGCTTGGAAAGCTGCAGATGTTCCTCGGGTTGGGCGGGGGTGAGGCGGCTCCCGGCGATCACCCAGTGCCCTCTGCTGACACCAGGCAGGAGCAGCCTCTGCGAGAGCCCGAGCGGTGTTAGCTGAGTTGCTCACTGAAATCCCGAGCTCTTAATTCCTCTGGCAGCACGAAACCGCAACAATTCCCCTCTGGGGAAAGGCTGTAACCACGCTGGCCTGTCCCTCCCCGCTGCTGCTGCGGCGATGCCCCGCGCCCTGCCCGTGCCTGCCTGCCCGAGGGCTCCCCACACCCTCGGCGCCCACAGAAACACCCGTGATTCAGCCTCACTCCTGTGAGTGACTTTTGCACCACATCGTGTGTTAAGTGGACACGACACAGGACTCGTCCTGTGTCAGAGGAGGCTGTTTCTGTGTCCGTGTGTCTGTGTGTGCCCGTGTGCAGGGGTGTTCATACTGTACTTCCCCTCCACGGTTAATTCCTGCCTGGTCTTGATGCTCCCTAGTGCTGTGAACGCTCCAGTATGTAGAAAACCTGTAAAACATCCCTGCCTCAGAATTCCTGGCTTTGCTAACTCTTAATGCAGCAATTACACTGCACAGTCACAACTTAACAAAGACAACGTGACCCCGAGCATATCAGGTCATAGCAGCAGAACCAAATACCTGAGAACATGGCTCTGTAGGCTGAAGCTAACATCTCAACATCCTCTGCCTGCAAAACACACACAAATCTGCTGGCTGTACTGCACTCTACCTAACCCAGCCATCCCTGCATCTGGAATATCAGCTTTCCCAGCTGTTCTGGCTGTGGCTGTGAGGTGCTGATTGAGCCAGGAAATAACCCACCTCAGTAACAGCTGGCCCCACAGACAGGAACTGGGGTGGTAGTGGGACTGCCCACTTCTGTCTCGGACTCAGCACTGGTGGACTTGGGCTGGTCGTTGCAGCGCAGCTTTTCAGCCCCTCAGTGGGGACCACCACAAATCACCACTGACCACCACTGACTACCACAAGCCACCACAAAGCATCACCGACCACCACTGCAAACCTCCACAAACCATGGCAAACACTCACGAACCGGCCGGGCTTGGACAGCCCTGCCCATGCCCACCCAGCAGCCGGACGCTCTATCGGTAAATCTTTCACCCTGGTGCAATCTCCTTATAGCAGAAAACAGTTCTGCAGGTGACCTCTGCTGACGGGACTGTGCTCAGCGAAACCATTCTAGTGCCAGCCTCCCGCAGGGCAGCCGCCGGTGTTTCTGGCCCGCCCGTCTCGCCCCGGGAGCCCCCCCGTCCCACGGCCGCGGGTGATGCAAAGGGGCGGCAGCGTTGCAGCGCCGGCCGATTGCATCAGACACGGCCCCGCTGAGCCGCCTGCCCGTGTGAGCGGTGAAATCATCCTCACCCCCCCGGAACGGCTCCTCGGAGCTTCTCTCGCCTGCGAGGCTGCGGCACTGGGCGGCTGAAGCACCGGGCTGAGAAATCAGACAGGGAGGGAGAGCATAGGTCTGATGAGGAGCGGCTGAGGGAGCTGGAGGGGCTCAGCCTGGAGAAAAGGAGGCTCAGGGGGGACCTCATCACTCTCTGCAACTCCCTGACAGGAGGGGAGAGCCGGGAAGAGGTCGGGCTCTGCTCCAAGGGAACAAGTGGCAGGACAAGGGAAACGGTCATAAGTTGCACCAGAGGAGGTTCAGGTTGGATACAAGGGAAAATTTTTTCCAGGAAAGTTGTTCAGGCACTGGCACAAGCTGCCCAGGGCAGTGATGGAATCACCATCCTTGGAGTTGTTCAAAAAGGAAGTGGATGCAGCACTTGGGGACATGGTTTACTGGTGAACATGGCAGTGCTGGGTTGATGGTTGGACTCGGTGCTCTTAGAGGCCTTTTCCAACCTTAAAAACTGCTTAATGGAATTTAATGTAATCCCTTCAGTTATTCCAAACTGACAGCCTGGCTTCTCTGGAAGCTGCTACACAGTGACCGTCGGGAACTTAGGGAACTTCTCAAAAGCATTGATTGAAGTGAGAGCGCTTGAATTTTGAAAGAAAAGAGGAAGAAAAGAGTACACATCTTGGCCCAGCAACCAGTACTGCCCAAGGCACATAAGTAAGCGGCACTGACTGCCCATCCCACCCCTCCTGGAGCTCAGGAAAGCAGCAGGGCCCTGCCATGAGCCTGACAGGTTAGGACTGGGGGGCAGCAGTTGGGGGGCACAGTGCACTGAAGGGGGAGCACCAAGGGCTGTGTCATCAGGCAAATCAGCTCCCTCTGCACAAGGAGCTTCAGTTCCACGCACCAAGTCGGTTCACTCTGTGGTAGAGTCAGTCATTGCGTGGCAATCTTGGAATACCTTCAGGATGACTCCCTGGAACCACCCACAGACTCACGGTGAGTCACGGCAAGCGCTGGGAGAAGCCTCCGGTCACAGGGCTTGGCTGTGCCCGGTGTGTGCTGCCCACACACACAGTACATACACTGTACATGCAGAGTACACACATGGTATACACTCGGTATACACACGGGACACACGCCGTGCGTGGCACAGCGACAGTTGGAATTAGTGAGTTTATTCCTTTCTGGCGTGTGTTCCCCCACGGCTGGAGAGGGGCGGCAGTGCCCGGGGCTCCTCCAGCCTCCAGCCCACAGTGGATGCGCAGGACAGGTCCAGGTTTAAGGGAACGACGTCCCTCAGGCCCGGGGGTTCTCTAGTTTCACACCGCGGCCGGTGGCACCGGGATGCCCCGTCGCTGCCCTGCCCAGACGCCGCGCGGCGCTGCGGCTTTGGCCCCTCCGCTGCCGGCCCCGCTGCCGGTCCCGCCGCCCCGGTCCCGCCGCTCTCACCGCCCCCGCTCCGCCCCATCGCCCCGCCCCGGCGGCCGTGCTGCCAATGGGCCCGGCGGGGCGGGACCGGCGGGTGCTCCCCGTGCCTGGGGCGGGCTCCGAGCTGCTCCGCTCCACGCGGGACCGCGGAGTCACTGACGGTCCGGTCTCGGTCCCGGTCCGCGCTGTCTGTCCTGATCCCGCCGTCATCCTGGTCCCGCTGGCACTGCCGGTCTCGCCGGCACTGCCGGTCCCGGTCCGCGCCGTCCTGCCAGCGCCGGTACACAGGTGAGCCGCGGGGTCCGCGTCCCTGCCCGCCCGCCCGGGCGGTCCCGATCCTCTCCGGTGCCGGTGTCACCCCGGTTGCGGGGGCAGGGGGACCGGTAGGACCTGCGGCGGGTCCCGCTCCCGGCAGAGCGGCGGCAGCGATACACGTGGGCTGCAGCCGGCTCCGTGATCGCCTCCGAACGCCGGGAGTACCGGGCCGAGGGGAGCGGGGGCTGGGGGATGTGGAGACCGGGGCCGTGGTCCCGGGGGTGCCGGGCGGGGTGATGCTGGGCGGTCGTGCCGCCCCGGAGCGCCTGGCTGGAACGTGTCCGGGCATGCACATCCCGGTGCGCTGCCGCCTTCCCGCGGGCGGGCGGCGGGGGGGCGCCGGCGGGGCCGCGGGGGTCGGGTCGGGC